GGGGGGGCCTTTCCCCCCCCCCCAGCTGCTCCCCCACCTCCAGCCGCTGTGGGCAGCCCCGTTCCGACAGCCCCAGCACCTCCGGGGACAGAGTGGGCGCCCTGTGCCCACAGGAGGCCGCGCTGCTGCGGCGCCGCTGTGCTGCATGCCCAGCCTTCGCGCACTGGAGCCCCACAAACCGCCAGAGCGCAGGCAGCCCACAGGCACCCCAGCTGAGCCAGCCTGCCCTCCCGCATGCACTGCCCGCTGCGTGCTGCCCACGATGCCCCCTCCCTCACGGTCCCTCTCCCTCCCAGTGATGTGCCACTGCCAGCGCAGGGGGGCTCAGCTGCTCCTGGGCCGGGACGCCCACCTGCACCTCTACGAGCACGGCGGGGCTGCGCAGGTGGGTGCTGCGGACGGGCTCCGGCCTGGGCTGGCGGGACACGGTGGCACCGGCAGCACAGGCAGGGGCAGGAGGGCGGCTTGCTGCTGCCCTCCTCTGGCTGTCGGGGCCGGGCTGGATGGAGGATCCCTTGCTGGGCTGTGGCAGCAGCATCATTCAGATCTCCCCCAGCCACAGCCTGGGGCACGAGTGGGGGCTGAGCACACCCGGCGCAAGGGAGGAGGGCACGGAGGGTAAGAGGGCCAGGACCCCCATGCACTGCCACCGTCCCCCATCGGGTCTGCTCTCTGGCCCGCCCTGGGCACAGGTCGCTGGCGTCCACTCCCAGGCGCTGCCGGACCTGCCAGACGGCACCTTCGACCTGGACCAGCTGGAGCTGACCATCCACGAAGCCCACGGCAGCCGGTACCACCCGCGCCCCGAGCTCATCTGCCTGGAGAACACGCACAGCTCGGCGGGAGGCCGGGCACTGCCCCTCACCTACCTCCAGCAGGTAGGAACCAGCAGCTGGCAGCAGCCCTGCCTGGGCGCAGGCAGCCAAACCTGGCAGGACAGCACCACAGGGATGCCAGGGCCTTGCTGAGGAGCTCAGAGCGCTGCTCACGTTGGTGCTGGCTGCCCCATGGGGCTCGGTGCCTCCAGGGGTCCCTCCTGGCCCAGCTCCTCCTCTGCCTCCCCCCAGGTCCGGGGGCTCGCTGATCGCTACGGGCTGCGGGTGCACATGGACGGAGCACGGCTGATGAACGCGGCGGTGGCCCAGGACGTGGAGCCGGCTCGGATCACCCAGCACTGTGACTCTGTGTCCCTGTGCTTCTCCAAGGTGTGCTCCTGTGGGGAGGGGGTCCTCGGGGCCAGATGGGACCAGCGCAAGCTGGGGCCTCGCCCTTGTTCGGGGGTATGGGGCTGAGTGCCCAGCTTGCAGGCTGGGGCATCCCTGGGTGCATCCCCAGGAGGGGTACGGGCAACCCCCCGGGGGCAGCTTGGATCACCCCTCTGGTGGCTCCGCAGGGCCTGGGTGCCCCGGCCGGCGCGGTGCTGGCTGGACACAGGGAGTTTGTTGCTGAGGCCTGGCGTGCGCGGAAGCTGCTGGGTGGGGGGATGCGGCAGGCAGGCGTGCTGGCAGCTGCTGCCCGCCTCGGGCTGGAGCACGCAGAGGCGACGCTGCGCAGAGACCATGACAACGCCCGACACTTTGCTGAAGGTATCTTGGGGCCCCTCGGCACGCCGGGAGGTACGGGTGCCTGCAGCCTGACACTGCTCTCCCTGCCCAGCCTGACAGCTCGGCGTGGGCCCAGCCTTATACCCTCCCCCCCCCGCTGCCAGCTGGGCTCACCGCACCCAGCATCACCCGGCGCTGCTGGGCGTAACAGTGGCGCAGGCACCTTCCCCAGGCAGCCTTGCTGGATCTCCAGCCAGGCAAGGATGCCGCTGGGGTCCCTGCCTGGCTGGAGTGCCGGGACGATGCCATGCCTGTCCCCATGGTGCCCACAGTGACCCTGGTGCTACACAGCAAGGAGGGCAAAGGGCCTCTCCTTCAGCTGGGACCTGGAGCAGGGCTTGGGCAGCGCTGCAGCCTCCTCTCCCGGGAAGCCGGGCACCGGGCTCGCAGCCTACCGTCCCTGCCTCCCCCAGGCATCCAGGAGCTGAACTCGCCCCTCTGTTCTGTCAACCTCGCGACGGTGGAGACAAACATCGTGATGGTGAGCATCAGGGGGGGCTGGGCGTCCCCCGCAGAGCTCTGCGAGCACCTGCGGGCAGTGAGCGAGGAGGAGTTGGCCGAGACCGGCCAGGTTGTCAGCGTCCTGATGTTCCCCTGGTCGGCACACACTGTGCGCGCGGTCTGGCACCGCGACGTCTCGGCCCGCGACACCGAGCTCGCAAAGAACAAGCTGGAGTTTGTGGCCAGGAAGTGCCAGGAGAAGCTGGCCTTGGGACCGCACCCGACCCCTCCGAGCGCGGGGGGAGCCTGAGCATCCTTCCAGGCCCAGCTCAGGGGCAGCTGCCTCCCCCTGGCTGCTGCAGGCAAGCTGGGGCGGCTGTCCCAGCCCTGTCCTGGCAGCCAGCAGCAAAGGGGCTGGGACTAGCCACAGCATGCTCCAGGCATGTTCCCAACCGGCTGCAGTACAACATCCACCCCCGCATGCAGCCCTGCAAACCAGCGTGAGCCCAGCCCCCAGGAGACCCCAGCCCACCCTCCCAGGAGGGAGCGCCTTCACAGACATGCCTGGAGGGACAGAGGGGAGCCCACATGTCACACTGACACCCAGACCCCTCTGAGACAGCATGCCCATCTCGCTAGTCACCCAGCAAACATCCTCAGAGCACCCTCTAGTCCTCTACAGAAGCTCTGCTTCTGTAACTCGGGTCCCGCAGACAGCACCCAAAAGCAGAGCCAGACACCTCTAGCCCCAAAGGCCACATGCTGCACCTGGCCCACGTGCACCGCACGTGTGCAAGGATGCTGCAGCAGGGAGACGGATCCCTCAGGATGGTCAGGGCACAAAATAAACGTGTTCTGGCAGCACTGTGGCTGCGCAGGATGTTTTCTCCCAAGCGTGCTCCTCCCCTGACTGTGCAGCAGGGACATTGTCACAGCCCAGAGGTCCCCATTGAGGGATAAATGCTCCTGAGGACATGGAAGTATCTCACAAGTTGGCCAGGACTGGCCTAGCCTGGCCCAGACAGCTCCCCAGTGTGCTCCTCCAATCACCCCCAACCCCAAAGGCTTGCATTATCCCAGTCCCACAGTCTCCCCGCAGCCGCAGGCAGGCTCTCCAGGCTTCCCTGCCTGCTGAGCCTGTCGCTTTCTGGGTTGGACTTTGCCTGTGCAAAGAGCTGGGCTGAGCTCAGTGGTGCACTCCCCCACTGCTGGCACGGAAGAGAGCCCAGCCACAGGACAGGAGCTCTGCACTGGGAAAGGAGATTCTCCCTGCAGCAGCCATGTCTAGTACTTGCCGGCTCAGCACAGCCCCAGCTCCCCAGGAACCAGTTACACCCAGGCAGCAGTTATTCCTGTTTTATTTTGTATTGGCAATAAGCAGTTGAAAGGAAATTGAGGGAACAAACTTCATCACCCGGTCGTCCAGAGCGAGCCCTGCAGGCCTGCCAGCCCTGCACGCTCTCCGGATGGGCAGAAACACCCTGCAAAGGAACACCAGCCCAGGCGAGAATCAGTGATAACTGGTGCTCCCCTGCTCTGAGCGCCCCCCCCCCCCCCCCCCCCGCCTGGCTGCAGGCTGGAAGGAGTGGAGCAGGCACAGAGGGTGTTCGGAGGCGGCAGCCGCCCTGTGCTGCAGGAGGAGACCCAGCGGGCTGGAGCGAGGAGGGCAGCAGGACAGGGTGCACGCCGGCTGCCTGTCGCCACCACGCAGGACTGTGGTTCCCATCTCAGTTTGCTCCCGACACGCCATCAAGCTCTTGAAATCATGTTCAGAATCACCTGGGATTAGGAACCAAGCCCTGTGAGCAGTGCCTGGCCCCGCTCCTCCACTCCTGGAGATGACGGCCAGCCCTGAAGCCGCAGCCCCACACCCGCCCCACACCCTGCAGTATGCAGGGGAAGCTCGCCTTGGCACAGCCCTCCTGGGCTGCTGATCTTGGCTGTGCTCAGAGAGCAAAGGGAGGACGGGAGCTCTTCCCCTACCTGAGTGAGGACATAGCTCTCCTCCGACAGCTTCTCAATGATGTCAAAGTGATCCACGCCGGCGAGATCCAGCAGGGAGACGGACCAGCCGGCTGTGCGCAGGGCCTGCGGAGAGAGCAGCGCTGGCAGGAGGGACCCTGACCCCCATCTGCCCCGGACAGGGCAGCAGGAATGACGGCTCGGCAAGGACTAGTGTCCTCCTCTGAGCTGCTGTCATCTTCGACAGCAGCCATCGCCACAACAGCAGAAATACTGCTCTGATACGGCACACGAGCTCTTCATCCCAGCTTAGCAGGTCCGAGCGGGCCAGCTGGAGCAGCATCCCCGCAGAACCGGGCAGCGTGCTGCCCGGAGCTCACCTGGCCATACTCCTGCGACTGCCTGCGAAACTCCGGGGAGTCGTGCTGGGCCACAGCCACGAGCACCTCGCAGGCCGCAGCCGCAGGCACTGCTGGGGTGACGCACAGCATGGGGCTGTTCCTCTGGGCGACCTCCCTGGAGGAGACACCGCAGTGGCAGCTGACGTAGCCCCTCGCTCGGAGAGGGCGTCTTTGCCTGCAGAGCACCCGTGCCCTCGGCTGCGTGCACCAGCCAGGCGGAGGGCGCAGGGACTGTGCCCAGGTCAGGCGCAGAGGCAGCCGGTGCCCTGCTGCACAGGCAGGCTGTGCGGGCAGGGGCAGAGCAGGCTGCAGAGCCGCTGGCGTTCTCCCACAGGCTGCGCTGGCCAAAGCCACGCGTGTGCGCAGCCTGCCTGTGCCCTTTCCCAGTCGCTGTCCCCACAGCGTGCGGGCTCACCGGCTCATGTTCAGCGCATCGTTCACATAGGTGTGCAGGATGGGCTCAAGGTCGTACACGCCGCTCACCAGCACAGCTCCTGGGGGCAGAGGCATCGGTGGGTGAGGGGCCCTGCAGTTCGGGCCGCTCTCACAGCCCTGCGCGTGGGAACTCTCCTTGCACCCACATCCCCAGGCCTCAGTGAGCGGCTGGTGGGTGCAGGACACGCACGCTCCTGGGGGCAGCTTGTCCAGGAGCCCAGAGTCCTGCACTCCTGGCACCTGTGGGCTGCAGTCAGTTGGGGCAACTCATCTCCCTCGGCTCTACAGCCCCCGCAGCCCCGTACGGGCAGCAGAGACGGCCTCGTCCCAGGTGCAGACGCCAGTTCTCCTTCAGCCCCCGCGCCTGGACATGGCAGTGCTACCTTTGATATCCGGTGCCACTCCATATTCCGTCCAGTCCGTGGACAACACCATGGCTGCCAAGTGTGCCCCTGCTGAGTGTCCACACAGGTAAATGCCTCTGGAGAGAGGGAGCCATGAGCCGGCACAGGGAGCAATGGCGTGGCGCCTGCTGCCTCGAGACACCCTGCTCTGTGCGGAGGAGGCGGCACAGCCGCAAGTGCCGCAGCCCAAACGCGGCAGCTCAGACACATTTCCCAGTCCATCAACTGACACCTCGCGCAGTCACAAGGGAGCATGGCCACAGGTGTTGCCCAGCACTCGGACTGAGGCATTGAAGCCTTTGTCACAGCGAGAGGGGGCTCGTTTGCCCCCTCCTGTTGCTGCCACAGCCACCCCCACGCACCAAACCACCCAGGGAGTGACGCAGGCACTGTTTGCCTTGAAGGCCTGACAGCGGCCATAATGGTGGGGCGGAGGGGACCCCGGGAGCCGGAGGGGACCCCGGGAGCCACGCGTGGCCCACCTGATCCCAGAGTATCGCTCCACCAGGAAGGCAAGGCTGCGCCGCACCTGCAGCACCATGGCGTCCATGTGGCCTGGGCAGAGAGCAGAGTCGGGAGGGCGCCGGGCCAGCACGGGCAGCCGCAGCCTCTGCTGGGCAGCACCTACCTTTGGGGGCTGTGTCGTATCACCCCCCCGCCACCCCACCGGCCCCAGCGGGGGGGCTGCGAATCCCGACTCGTCTTTACTAGGGGGAAACAGAAGCTAGCCAGGCTGCGGGGGCCGGGGTGTCCTGGGTCCGGCCGGGAGGCCCAGCAGACCCGGAGTACCCAGCACAAGTCCGGGTGTCACGAGAAGGGAGGTGGTAAAAGCAGGCCGGGGGGGGGGCTCCCTTCCCAAGGGATCCCCGCCCATCACCACTTACAGAAGGGTCGGTGGGAAAATAGATGTCCAGCTTCTCCCCCTCCCCGTCGCCGTAGGGGACGTGCAG